ACAGCATTTAGTGCAATAAAGATGATTTAATTGTTTAAAAAAAAAAAAAAAACTAAATTTGATTAAGATTTACAATTATAATGAATAGAAAGACTAAGATTAAATGTATATAACAGTCTTTGGATCTTGGCCAAGGTGTTTATGGACACATGGGTGTTAAAACCTTCGATAAGATTTATGGTAGTAGTAACAAATCGTCTAAAACCCTAAAATATTTGATAGAAGAGTTATTTAAACATCTACAAATTCTTTGTTGTTTTTAAACGTTAATTTTGTTATTTAACTTATGTCAACAACTTGTGGCTTAAACTTTTGACAAGAACAAATTTACGGTCAATAGATGGAACATCACTGTACTCACAAATATGATATCAAATGTATTTTTGCGCATGTGAACATTGAAATGGCATGGAAAGAGAAAGAAGACACCGAGTGGGCAAATCTAGAACTCCAAAATCTGCCATATTATAAACTGTAAGCACCAATTTGGTATTTGTATGTCTTAAGAAATTTTATAGACAGGTTTGATGTCATGGCCTTTGGTTGTATCCCTGTGTGAATTATGAGAAGGTTGAAGTGTACTTTAGCGACAACACCAGTGTTATTCAACTGTGCACAAGAATTTGAATAAAGTTGCGGGTAATTTCGTATACCACTTACGCCAATGATATATCGGAATTTTTCATGGCAAGCAAAAAGCTTTCTCCCTTGTCAGAGTAAAAGTTCTCAGTCAGTCGTGGCATGGCCATGCTACATGCCTTACTATATAAGTCTCCATGGTGACCGGTTTTGTTTACAAGAAAAAGGATATGTGTATTGTAAGGAATTGAAGTGACCTCCAACGCCATGTAAACAACCATTAGTTCCTAAGAATGACAACTGTCTATATTGTGAAGGTCAGTGCAAACAATATACTTTCGCTTAATTTCTAATTCAGATTTCCGACATTTGGTCGATATCTTATATATATTGTATTGATTAATGGTTATCAATAAAAAAAAAAGAGCGCATTAAGCGCAAATAAGACTTCAACGCATCGACATAGTTAGCATAAAAGTCAACAAGAAGTCAACATACATGTACAGTCTTCTGGCCTATGACGAGTACATAGTCATACAGAGGGACTTGCGTTGTTAGTAGATCTCAATCCTCTTCATGCTTGTTCCTGATCAATGAGCTAAAATAGGGTACTCAAAAGAATATGCAAGAAAAATCAGTACAAGAAAAGCACTTAATTTTCTAAGAACAGTGTAACTGACAACAAATTACAAATTGTGTCTGTTTTTATTACCTATATAACAAGACACTGATGACGATTACTCAATTAAATCAAAATGTGTGTATTTAGTGTTACTGTATGAGTTTCGGAAGCTTTGTGACTTATTCTCCCAAAAAAACATCTCATAACTTGACCATTCATACTTTTAAAATCAAAACAAATTTATTAAAACGATAGCAAGATATCCAGTCTATTCTGGCTTTTTTGTTATAAAGTTAATAGCTACATGTTTCTCTTGTGTTGGCATCCACCTTGTTCTCAAATGATAAAATGCCATCCGTACTTTTAACGTGATGAATAAAACAGATAAAAAAATTATATCATCTGTTTGGTAAAGAAATAAGGTAATGACAGTTCACTTAGAACCCAAATATATACCCCAAAGACAATTGGTAAAAGTAAATATTGACAATCATATTATCTGATGATGGTTCCTTGACATTTCAACCAAAAAGACTCGAGGTCCCTTCTCTCTACATGATTTCCAAATTTAATAAGTGTCACTAGCAAACACTATTATATCGATTTTTTGATATAATTAACACAGACACAGTCGAGGGAGTTCCGCTTCATGTCTTGACTAAACTTTAGAAATCTTTACTTGCCATCAGCAACAAGAAAGGTTTCACTAGTAGAGAAATTTTATCCTTATTGTGCACCTGTTATTTACCCCCGGTGTTTCGCGGAGTTCATGTTTCACAAGTTTCAGTTTTCTGTGTAATGGTCTTTCAATTGTTGTTTGTTCTTTAGTCTTTTGTTTTTATTTTTGCTCTCTTGGTTTCTTCTTCTCTTTTTTCAATTCATGATACAACATATACGATAGATATAACCTAAAACGAAGGTTTATTCAGCATGTTATCCGGAATTTGTATATGTATGCCTTAATTTGATTTACGTCGCCTCGAGGTGGTGAATTCTGTATGATGTAGGCAATTTTAACTGTAGTATTTTCATGTGTATTGGTAATAGAATAATATTCCCTCTCTTGTTCGTCGTAATATTTATCTGTAGTTTTTTATTATTATTTTGTTCTAATCTTGAGACTTCATGCACAGTTGACATGTGTTACCTAGTGATATTTATTTGTTTTTGATTTATATCCATTTCATTTGATAGGCACTTGCAGTTATGGAGAAACCGTTTATCAAGTAGGTTCCGGGTTTGCTTGCATTGATGGATCAAACCGCTGTAGATGTGGTGGCAAAAATATGATTGCATCGACAAGAGCAGCCCAATTTGCAAGTTTGATGTGCTTGAAGACAAAACCTTAATGGATTAGGATGAATAAAAGAAAAGAATTTGTTGGAAAGAAGACTTTTTTTCATTTATCTTGGCCGTTCCTTTTTGTTGTTAGATTGCAGGAAAGGACAACAATCAATTAAAAATTTAGACTCTCATTATGTTTTTAACTTATTGGTGTAAATATATAATATGAGAGACTTCATCCGGTTGATATCTTTCAACTATAATATGATTGGTTGTATTTCAGTAAATTGAAAAAAAAGGTTCCTACATTGTAGATACATCCCTAAAATTAAGAAAACTGTTTTGCATACCCTTCAATGCCATGATTGCTTTAATAACATTAATCTAAAACATGTCTGATGAATCAAAATTTAATATGAAAAGTATCTGCATAAGACAGATGATCTCTGATCAAAATCAGACTCTTGTTTAATTCTAAGTGCAATAAATGGATAACGGATACTTACTCATGTAATTTATAAATTCCTTAGAATGAAAAATACCATAAAAGGTTTATTCAATCAGTATATCATTTCAAAAATAAATATTTTGAGTTAATTTCCTAAACAGGATACATTGCTGAATAATATTTCTATATTAGTCTTGGTATAGTGTTTAACCCTAAGCGTAACCTTAACCCCTAACCCCACTCCGCTTTTGATCATAGAAATAAAAAAGACAATCTTAAATTGGTAGCTGGAATCAATAATGCTGTCGTTTCAAAGAGGTTAGAAATCACAACTTTCCTTTATATTCTTTTACTGTTTATAATAGAACTTTATAATATTATTACATTAAATTGTTTACTGTCTTTTCGTTTGCTTTCTGATAAATGTTTGACTGAAATTTAGGCACTTATTGCATAAAAAAGTATAGTTTTCCGTGTATTTAGCACACTATTTCTAGTAATTCAAGTTGTTATCTGACTAATAATTTGTTAAATGGCTTTAAAAATAAAGAAGACAAAGCCTTTAACAGGACTAAAACTATCACCTGCTTCTCGTATGTAGTTACGTAAGTATGGAAGAAATATCCTTATGATATTGTACGTTGGTATTATTGATGTCTATTGTACGAATATTGGAATGCCCCTAACACCAAAAGTCACGAGGAATCGGGACTACAAACATTCGACGACCACTATCAAGAAATGATTGAACGATACAACATGTCTCTGTCTCTACTCACGAGAGACATTTTCCTGATTTAAGAATTATAGAAAAATCGTCTGATCTTCAAATCTACCGACTATTCACTATTCAATTTTGACTGCGTTTGGATCCGCATGACGGGTGATACATATAGTATTAGAAGTTCCCTATCGACATACCTGGTTCTGCTCCAATTTGAGCTCATGATTTGCATATTAAAATGAGCTTTCACCAAACATGCCAGTTTCTGAAGTGAAGCTCCATCCAAATTACAATCTCATCTTCTAATGCCGAAAAGTAGTTCAAAATATCAATAGGAATCAATGAGCCCAACCATATTCTGGCTTAATGCAAGCACGATGGGTATGCATAACCATGTAATTAAATAGATTATCGACATTAGAATAAATGTACAATATTAAAGGTATAGTTTTTGTCGTTATTATTTGTTATTACTTCATTGCAATGCAAATAATAAAGTCCTTGTATTTGTTTCAATTAAAGGGTAACAAAATTGAAAATTACACTTGTAATAAATTTTGTTCGTCCGATAGGCACGTGTATCATTCAATGTAAATAACACTATTAATACCATTCACCAACTTGTTACAAGAGATAATCTACATATTGAATCAAAGATACAAAGCTTAAGTTGTACTTGGAACTACTACAGTTAAAGATGTCAATCGCTTTGTACGCCATATGAACACTTTTATCAAGAAACAGTTATAAATAAGCCACATCCCTAGCTAATCATGATGAACTGCTATCATCCTATATGTCTACGACAGATCAACGTTTAAAGGGTAACTTTTTGCGTCACTTCTTTTCATCTAACTTATACAATTTACAAATAAACTTATGGGCAAAGGATAAATTTAATAATTTAATGACAAATCGATTTAAAACATATTTAATAAAATATAAAGATTTTTGTATGCAAATCTTTTTATGTTGTAAATAACTATTATATGTCAATGTATGTTTACAAAGACGGAAATTTGTTTTAGAATAATACTTTTGATAAATAAAAGATATTCACAGCTAAACTTAGTTCTCAAGCTTTTCTTACGTAACAAGATTAACCCTCAGTCATTTTAATAAGCGCTTATGCAACGTAAAAACCATGCGACAGATTTTTGTGATCACAAATGGCTTGAGGATTGTTAAAGGGTCTCAATTATTTTGATCTTTGTCAAATCAAGTAATAAACCTGTATTGTACCTCACCAAGAATAAAAGTTACATGACTTTGGCATATTTTGTCGCATTTGTAGTCATTTGCAAAGTAACCTTCAATGAATAAACTACATCAGTTTTATCGCCTGTCTATTTCCAGGTAAGTACATACATTTTAATAGTTCATTAAAGGGACATTGAATACGAATGAAACAAACAGATTAAAATAAGATTTGTTTTCTTCAAATATCTATCAGTTTTGAATTTTATTGGAGTTCGGTATTTTTGTTATTTTACTTTTTATCAAGCGGATTATAGAAATAATAACCCGCTATATGCAGTCAATTTGGTTCAATTTTGTCAAAATAAGCTTGAAAAATATAAATGATATATTATTGGCTTGCAAGTCAATAATTCAACTCATTTGAATCCGTATTCATGGAATCTTATAAATTGACTTTAAGTGCAGATTGTGCGCATGTGTCAATTATGTGGTTTATTCATTTAAAAGAAAAACATTGAAAAGTGGAATAAGTGAATAACCATTATGGTGACTGATCCAGCCTACAAAAATCATTCTTGTACATGTAAAACGATAATTTAAATCTATTTTTAACCTACAACAAGACATCACGCAGACCTTAAAAGATCCGATTGCACGTGTTTTCGGAGATCATTTCGATTGATAATAAGGTGGTATCTGGTCTTAAATTCGTCAAAAATGTTGATACATTGTAGAGAACTCATGAGTTGTTATTTGTTTCTTTTGGAATTATTTTTATTTATATATACGTTTTAGTATTTTATAAATATAGTATTAGAGTTTTGGTTATATCGGTGGACCGGAATGATACAGCTGATTCTCCTTTAATATTTCAAGTATATAGTTGATTTATTTTACATTTAGTGAAATCTTATATCAGAAATCATTCAGAAACTTTGGTAAATATTTTCTACTCCTAATTTGAGTCAATTAATTATTATGCCCTTTAACATGACATAAGTAGCGCGGTATTGTCACATCCCAAAAGTAACATTAATGGTTTAAATAATCAAAAGATTCTGCATGTAATAAAGTATATTTCACTTCTATGATTTCAGCTTGCCTTGAAATGTTCAATTAAATACGTTAACATAAAACAAAGTGTTTCATTAAGTGAGTGTACATATTAAATGTGTGTTTTTGCGTGTAAAATAGCAAAGTTATTGGTCTTATTTTAGCAAAGATATTTTTCATTTCATTTGTTGAATTGAATCTTGGTGTCATTATATAGTTGTTATAACAGACCAGACGTCCCCTTGGAAAAATTATTATAGATAATTTCGTTATAAATATTCCTCATGGAAAGATGATTCCATGACATTAATTTCGTAAGGATACATATTATAAATTTCATAATATTTCTTTCATTTTGAACACTGAGAGGGTGCAATTGGATTGCAGTAAAGATTGCAGTAAGGAAATGTATCTTCATGTAAAAATAGAAGGGACGATATGAGAGAAACAAATCCCATTCCCACCCGTGAATTTAAACTATATATACATGTATACTTGGTATTTTTTTGAATATGTTACGATTTTCAAATCAAGCAGACCTTTTAATTTTAAGAGGTGGTAACTTTAGGACAGAACTTTTTGACAGGTTGCACAAAATTCAAATTTATTTTATATCATGATGAGCTTGCGGGTGGGTAGTTTGACATTCAGGCGAGAGGTAATAGAGGGTATTCATTTTGTATAATAAACTCCGTCACAGTTTTTACCCTAATGGCTTTCGAACTTTGCACAATCTGTGTACTATATTCATAAAGTTTCCTCCTCCTTTAATTGATTCATGAGGGCCTTGAGTCCTTATTATACCTTGTCGATCATCTAACTGAGTATAAAACCTGTTTAATACCTACTCGGGAGTATATCTGCAATGTGTGTTTCCATTAACTACATATGTTGATAGGGTAAACAAGAAATAATTGATTATATGTAAGTATCATCTCTACTATCATCAATATTTTGTTTAAGGACCTGCTATATTTCTTATCTAGTTTCACGTGAAATATGTCGCATGGCAGATAATATTTTAGATTCCAGCTTTTAATGGATCTTTGTTCTCAAACTTGGTGCATTGCAGTTGAATAGAATTTCTGAGAATGTCTGTTCCAGTTTTTACGTGGTCAGTTTTCTCATTTGTCTCTAGTCTCAGTGTAGAATTTTCGTTTGTTTACCTCTGTTTTTCTTTGTTTCTTAATTTCCCTTATTCTTGGTCAACACTCGTTATTGGCCTTTTCCTCTAATCTGTTCGACCCGGTTCTTCCATCCTTAGCTCTCATCTTAGCGTTCAAAACGTGGAAGAAACCATATTTTGTCATTTTCATTTTTTATATGAAATAAGATGATGTGGTATGATTGTCAATGAGACAACTGTCCAAATGAAGCCTATTTGAACAATCAAAGGTCACCGTACAACGTTCAAAAACAAAAGATAAATAAGGCCCCGACATGCCAAAATGTGAAACAATTTATACGCACAACTAAAGGCTTGATTGTGACAAAAAAATTTACAGAAAACAAATATGATAGACACCAACACACGTCAATCACTAACTTACAGGCTATAAACTTCATTTAGGCAGTAGTGTGACATGACAACGGAAGAAGGAACTGTAAAAATCATTTGGAAATGGCTTGACTCATAAGATCGACACGAAGCATAAACTAACATAAAGACTAAAGTCCCATAACATTTTCATGAAAAATAAAAATAAAAAGCTTAAGGCTAAAACAAGGCAGAAAGATTAGATGAAAAGAAATGAAATATTGCAATTATCGGAGTGTCGGGCATACGTAGGCGCTTTAATATTTTCAAAGCATATGGAGCAATATGAGAGCTCCAAAAAAAGTCAACCTGACTGCTATTTACGGGTTAAGTGGGGCGACAGATTAAACTTTTCCAAAATCTGTAATAAAACATTTTATCAATTTAGAAGTGAAAAGCTATATTACCATTACCCCAATCTCCGCGCACATACACACAGCCGTACATCTTTCCCGCTCTATACTCGGGAGCAATGTTATCATAAAGAAAATCATATGTTTGACGAAAAACAAGATGTTCTAAATTAAGAATTTAAGTGTAGGATACCTGGTCAACAACACGCATAGGAAATAAATTTTGCCGGTTTTAATCGATAATCAATGTTTTGACACAGTCCCTACATTCTAAGTCTAAATTGTCAACCTCAGCGTCGAGAATATACCTTTTTGTAACACGTTGTTATTGTCTAGTCAAACATGAAATTATATCCCATATGAAAACTGCGTTTTCAAGGTAGCAATGTACCAAACCAAGTAAAATTAACGTGAAATGTATTATTATTAGGCTGTGCAGGTTTCTGTGTTTTATTTTTGCATGAATTTTAATTTTCCATCAAACTGAGCAATTGTCTCAATAACTTCTTATTCGAAATCTCATGTTAAAAACGAAAAAAAAAATCTTAGATATAACATACAAAACATCTCATTTAACAGATCAACATATGTAAGGGTAAATATCAGAAGCATCTCCGACCAAGAAACAAGACTATTTGTATAGTTATTACTTTGGATTCAAACAATTTACTGATACTATATTGTGTAACAATATGCTTAATTAAATTAAGATTTTCAAGTGTAAGTGATAGAAATATTAATATAAATTACATTCTACAGACTATGGACTTTGGTGAATGTGGAATTGTAAACATTCTTTAAGTTTGTGGTATCGAAACATTTGAGAAACAACTCCTCAATATTAGATAGCAGAGTAATTTAAACCTGTACACACCATTTGTGGTACATTTGTTATATTGACCTTATGTTATCGACAACTTGCGGTTAACAATGCTTAAATGTTTGTCAAGAACAAATTGCCTGCCAATAAATCAGGCATGGGATAATGCAAATTTGTAATTGTAATGCATGGCAATGCATTACATTTTTCCAAGTAATTGCATGTATTGTGTAATGCAGCAATTTTTGCATTACATGTAATTGTAATTCAATGCATTACTTTAGCTAAAAGTTGAGTAATTCCATGCATTACATTGCATCACATGGCATTACTTTTTTCAAATACTATATATCTTTAACAGATTGTTGGCGATTTAACTAAAGCAGAATTTGAGATTTCTTGATTAACTTAGAACATAATCATTTGAATATTGATTTTCTATTTTCTATTTATTTTTCACACTTTGCATAAATCACTAGATGGAATTTGGAGATTAAGCCTTGTCCCAGGTAGAATTTGAAAAAAATGGTATAAATACTAGAATGACCAAATTACAATGATAAACACAACACTGTATATCAGATTGAGTTCTTTTTGTTTTTTATTTCATTTTATTTCATACATTTTCCTGCATAAAAAGATTGATATTTGAAAAGAATTACTGTAAAAGCGTTCCATTGTTGTCAAAAGATCAATGAATACCTTGTCATGATTAAATAACCATAAAACACTAATTAGTTTGTTTTACAATCAATCTTTTCACTATTTTGACACTTGGTCATAGATTAAACTCTATGTTTATTATATAATTAAGAATGAAATTCTCAGTAAATATTTTGATTGAAATAAAAAAAAAAATGTATATTTATAAAAGTAAAGTTAACATTAGTTAAAATAAGTATTACACTTCATCTTTGTAAATTGTTTTAGAGTAAACACAGAGATGTATACCTTGAAACATAGAATGTGCATGAAGGATGAAACCTTCGAAACCCTTATGATGTTAAAATGAAATAGTTGTATTGAATAGACTTTTTACATGTATACTTATATTCAATACATGGAATAGTTACTGCATAAGCTAGAATCTTTTGATACTGCATGTTGTTTTTCAAAATGTTTGTTTTTTCTTTTCACTTGATAATGAAATTTACAAATTTTTTTTTGATGTAATGTGTAATTCAATGCATTACTTTGCAAAAGCAATTGTAATTCAATGTATAACTTTGATAAATGCATGTAATTGTAATTGTGATTAAATGCATAGTTTTGTCAAAGTAATTGTAATATAATGCGTTACATTGGAATGTAATTCGCCCTATGCCTGCAATAAATGCAACGCCACTAGAATCGCGATTCTAGTTACAAATGTATTTTAGCGTAAAACTGTCAC